CAGCAATTAGTTTATTTGGCAGCAAACCATCGTTGAAGGTCGTTTCGCTATCGGCAACTAATGGACACGTCGGGTAGTCAGCGGTTGGGCAAGTGACAACACAAGCCCATAAGCGGTACAGCGACAACACATGAACAACAAAAGACAACATTAACTAATTGTCGGACCGTTTCACCTTCCCATCCTGCTGACTCCTTGACCTCTGAACATTCTCTCCCCCCGTTATTTACTGTTGCTTGGATGCTAAAGCTGTTGTGACTCTACTTTTCCTTATATTATTGTAATTGCCTGAAGAGTAATAATCGAAAACGCACGTTCGCCACACTTGACTTCTTGAATATACACAGCCAGGAATCGCCAATATCTTGATTCTATTTTGAATCTCTTCACTCAAGTCAAGTGGCATTCGTCAAACACTGGACTCGGAGTTGAATTAATTAATTCAGCAATAGACACTTCAGAGGTTAGTCTCTACGATTAAGTTACTCGATGCAGCTGCTAAGGCTTAAAGACCCCTTGTCAAGAATGAATCGCACTTCATTCTTCAACTTCTCTAGATTAATCGGACACAACACATATATCACATATTTTTATTTTTTCATCTAACACCTCAGGGTGCTTTAATAGTTTAATAAAACCTCCAACTTTTTGTGTTTATGGGGGTCAGCTATTTGCCAATTGCTAGATTGGAAACTGATGTGAGTTGGACTATTTAAACGGACTTTGTAAGTCGGAAACTCTCAGGAGGGTATGCAATTTTTCACTAATATTGTTTCGGGTTGCTCTGAGTAAACCCGTCTAGCTACATAAGCATTTCTCAGCTCTGTTAAGGGTTACCCGACTGTGTGTTGCAAGAAAAAAGAGAGAGAAAACATTTTGATATTAAATGCCACCCCCAGTGACCTCTGCCTCACCAGCCAACTTTACCTCGACACAGAGAGTGCTTTGGGTAGAAGTGCAACTGCATTGTCAGATAGTAATGTCTAAAGTGCGCTTGCAAAAGAAAATAGTCTTAAATGTGTGTGAAGTCAGCAGACACCCTTGCAAAAGTTCAGCTGGTGCAGAGACACACATACACACACAACAGAGGCCAGATCACATCTCGTGGCAGCTGTCTCTTCTCTGTAGGCCTTCTAGAAAGTTAGGTTTGACAAACATTTTGTAGCATAAAGAATAGCCACCGAGTTTAATTTAACTAACTTTCTAAGATAAATGAATAAAGACACGGCTGAGGAGAATTCGCATAATCAGTAGTTAAGGAGGAAAATGGGCAAAACAAACAACTTACACGGCGCGGAGGCTCACTCGAGAAGTACGAGTAGGGCTTGATTGTCAATCGGCACTGATCACCAGTACTATGGTTGGTAACATCAATGATCCCGGAGTTGTCGATCCAGAGCTTGCCGACGATGATATTATGTACCGTCAGCGGGATCTTATTCCAAGTGAAATGGTGTCCCGTACGGCGCAAGATGAGGTGGCAGATCCCGATCGGCTCAATCTGAAGGTACTTGCCACGGAACTTAGTGGACATGGAGAAATCGAACCAGGTGTACCAAGCATCACTCTCACAATGGAGCGCAGCGACTGGAGGGTGGTGGCTCACCTATAGAAGAGGTAGTAGACAAGTTTAGAAAAAAGGGGTCAGACAGCTAAACGCCCAGGCCAACACTGAAGAAAAAATGTCACAGAAAACGGAAACTGGTGATATTTGCCTCTACAAAAACTGCGATTTTTTGTCATCTTCATTTTGACACGAAAATTAACATTCTTCTTAATATAGTCTCATAGGAAGTACACACACATAAATGTAGGTGAAACAAGTATTGTAAGAGATAAGGTGCATGAAATAGGTGTTTCACTCCCAATAACACCAGCAAAACCATCAATATCAGTATTTGAAAACGCACGACAGCCTCACTTTGCGAACAACTAGGAGGCGTATTCGGCTTAGGAGAAAGAGGAGCTATGTCGACTGTGCTAGAGTTGGAAAATATCATCGTCGACATGAAAAGCACGCTGACTTTCATCAAAGGCGATGACCAGTATTATCCGAGCCACAAAGATAGTTAGAACGAAGCATGCTGCGCTCCTTCGGGTTCATAGCGTTCTGTTATTAACGGCACCCCTACCTTACTTTAGACTGGTTTGAACAAATGATAGTCATTTTAGGCATTACCGGCAGAAACATTGGGACTTGCATTATAGCTA